ATAATTATAAAACTCATATATATATTAATATATGGTTAATAAATATAACCTATATATGTATAAAATGTATGGCTTTTATTTCTTAATCAGTTTTATTTTACAAAGAGGGATTTACATCACAGTTATAAGTTTTCAAATCATGTGAAATAATTACGATTTTTAAAAAGACAATATATTCATTAAAAACGTGAATGTATTTTGGAGCAGGACCCCCTGATACTTACGTAGCACCGAGTCGAAGGACTTCTTTGTGTCTGGCTTCTTGCCCACTCCATTCTCTATTGACACACAGTGGGACAGGATCTGACTTGCTCCAATACAAGGAATATCGTGGGTGATGGAACAGGTTACTGAACATGGACCTAAAGTGAGGAACTTTTCTCTAATCGTGGGAAAAGGAGGCAGAGAGGAAAAGGTCAAAATTACATAGTCAGGTTTTCTAATACAACTTAATTACGTTATAAGTTTTTTCAAAAGCACAAAACGACGTATCTAGCACCAGAGGAGGAGTTACTAGTGTGTGCACAGACTATCTTTAGGAAGAAACTCAAAAGGCTGGCAACCGTATTCATGTGACAGGTGCTAGGACTATATTATTCTCTACTGTATATGCTTTCCACCACTTAAATTTCCTAGCCCAGGCACACACACGATTTCCATTGACTTAGCTCATGGCTTCCTCTGTGTGTGTGTGTGTGCACGTGCATGCGTGTGTACATGAACCCAGGTGCCCACAGAGGCCAGAAGAGGTCATCCAATCCCACAGAACTGCAGTGACAGGCAACTCAGTTGCAGGTGGTTGTGAGCCACCGCACCTGGTTGCTGGAAACTGAACTCCCATACTTTTGCAAGAGCAGCAAGCACCATTAACCTCTGAGCCATCTCTCCAGACCAGTTTATGGGTTCTTTGCTCGCTATTACTTAACCCCTGCAATGAGCTGCGTGTCCTAACATGCCTGGTCCCTGTAATCATGGTGCAATAATTCCTACAGTACCTCCAATCTGGATTAATCGCTCTGATTAGTGCAGTAGCCAAACCTGCTGATTCCTATTGATTAGGTTGTGCTAGTAGATAAGTTAGACTTACCAGTCTGCTTCGAACCAGGGTGGCTTGGATATTGGCCTGTGCATGGTCTCGCTCACTCGACACAATGAATAACGGGTCTGTAAAGCAGTAGAGTGAAGTAGAGATTAAAGTATGTTTACACCTCCAGGGAGAATCCTGGGCAAAGAATGCAACTTTCTCCCCCTTATCTCTCTCATCTTTATTTATTTATTTTTCTATTTTTAATTGAAGATAGATTTTTTTTCATACAGTATATTCTGATTCGTGGGAACGCCAAACTCCTCCAGATCCTCCCCCTTCCCACCCAAATCCATGCCCTTTCTTTCTCTCTTTAGAAAACAAACAGGCATCTAAAAAAAAAAAGGTAAAATAAGATAAAATAAAATAAGTAAAAGAATAAGTAAAATAAGATAAAATAAAAGCAAACAAATTGGAATAAGATAAAGCAAAGAGAAGAAAAAACAAAGAAAATGCACAAGAAACATATACAGACGCACACACACACATTTGCTCACACAAAAATTCCATAAAAACACAAAAGTGGAAGCTGTGATATATATGCAGAAGATAATTAGAGGAAACAAAGTCCCTAACAAAACATTATGGGACAAAGAATCTTCAGAAATGCCATCATATTTGTTTCGTGTTGGCATTTGATTTGCTTGGCATGTGATTTGTTTATCCAGTGAGACTCTGTTGGAGAGAACTAAGATTTGCTTTGTGATCAGTTATCAGCTGGAGATGGCTTCTGGGTTAGGGATGGGGGCTTGTGTCCATTTCCCTCTCGGCACTGGGACCCCCTCTGGCTTGGACCCATGCAGGCCTGTGCATGCTACCAAGGGCTCTGTGAATTCGTGTATCAGTCCTGCTGTGTTTACAAGGCTTTGCATCCTTGATGCCCGCCATGCCCTCTGGCTTTTACAGTCTTTCCAGCTCCTCTTCTGTGGAGTTCCCTGATGAGAGGGATTTGATGTATTCATCCCATTTAGGACTGGGTGTTCCGAGGTCTCTTTCTCTCTGGATAATGTCCAGTTGTGGGTCTCTGTGTCTATTCCCATTTACTGCAGGAAGAAGCTTCTCTGATGATGGCTGAGCTATGTTGTCTGAGCTAGTCTTGAACTCCTGATTCTTGCTATGTTGTCCGAGCTAGCCCTGGACTCCTGATTCTTGCTATGTTGTCCAGGATAGCCCTGAACTCCTGAATGTAGTAGATCTTCCTGTCTCTGCCGTCTGAGCAGGAAGGAAGGACTGGAGGTAAACGCCACTATGCTTGAATTGCAATTTAAGTGGAAAGCAAATTAGAGGGTTTAGACTGTGCCTAACTGGAGCAGGTGATGGTCCTGTTACCCTCTCCCATACCAGGGACTCTCTTGGATGTGTTTCTTTCCTGTGAATTCCAAGTCACCTTGTGGAATTGGGATGCAAACAAAAAGCCTATCGTGTTTCTAGCACAATACCCTAAATACTCCTTTTTCCCCCTTCTTTTCGGGTCTGGGTCACCTAAAAAATACTTCAAGAGGAGGAAACTTGTATGTAAACACTATTCCCATTTCTAGTCCAAAGAACAAATTTTTAGCAGTGCAGGGAAGATGGCTCATTTGTAAAGTGCTTACGGCACCATTGTGAAGATGTGAGTTTAGAGCCCCAGCAAGTATACAAAGAGCCAGCACAGCAGCCTATATACTTGTAATCCCAGAACTTGGGAGGTAGGGCCAGGAGGATTCCCAGGGCAGTACAGCAGAGTCTGTAAGCTCTAGGTCTGATAAGACCTTGTGTTAAAAATAAGGTGGAGAATTCAACGCAATACCCATCAAAATCCCAGCTAAATTCTTCAAAGACCTCGAAAGAATGGCACTCAACTTCATTTGGAAAAGCAAAAAACCCAGGATAGCCAAAACAATCCTATACAATAAAAGAACTTCTGGAGGCATCACAATCCCTGACTTCAAATTCTGCTACAGAGCTACAGTACTAAGAACAGCCTGGTATTGGCATAAGAACAGACAGAAGGACCAATGGAACCGAATGGAAGACCTGAATATCAATCTACACATCTTCAAACACCTGATCTTTGACAAAGAAGCAAAAATTATCAAATGGAAAAAAGAAAGCATATTTAACAAATGGTGCTGGCATAACTAAGTATCAACATGTAGAAGAATGAAAATAGACCCATATCTACACCATGCACAAAACTCAAGTCCAAATGGATCAAAGACCTCAACATAAAGCCAGTCACACTGAACCTCATAGAAGAGAAAGTGGGAAGTACACTTGAACACATTGGCACAGGGAACCACTTTGTAAATATAACCCCAGCAGCACAGACACTGAGAAAAACAATTAATAAAGGGACTTCCTGAAACTGAAAAGCTTCTGTAAAGCAAAGGACATGGTCAACAAGACAAAACAAGAGCCTACAGAAAGGGAAAAGATCTTCACCAACCCCACATCAGACAGAGGTCTGATCTCCAAAATATACAAAGAACTCAAGAA